TGAAAGGAATACTACCTTTGCTGGGTGCGGCAATAAAGCAGCACCAGAAGATAGCACAAACTCCGGCATCTGAGTTGCGTCAATGCTGATAAATGACAATGCAAATGTGATTATTCATGTAGTACTAGACATTGTTACTAAAAGGGTATACATATACATTCCATGATGTGCATTCCAAATTTACAATATCATATTTGTAATGGAACATAACTATAACAACTATCTCATGTTATTTATTGTGTCATTAACTGATTTTATATCATCAATTAGCACTAAATACTTAATGATGCCGACACAAACATAGCTGGGATTAAGGTGCAAAAAGGAAGATGATGATGATGAACAAAATAAACCTATTATCAGGCTCAGTCCAGTCTACATCTTCTGTTAGTTCCACTTCCAGTAACAAGTTCGGTGAAGGGTTGCCAGAAAATTGTGTTGTTTGATCATCTGAATGTGCCAAATGGTCGCCCGATTTTTCGAACAACGGCTCATCTGCTTCCATGCCTCTATCTATATGTAAATGACTATTGCTTCTTTCACTCATGTCTACTACTGAGTCAGAAAGATTAGAAACATTTGCAGGATAAGTTAAAAAGCCATCATTCCTCTCCACTCTCTTAAGCATTTCTTCATGTTCTTCGTCTTTATCCCAATCTCCGTCCACCACATTAGAATCCTCCATATCTTTTCTACTGTCCACTTTCTCAACCTTGGATTCCACCAACAAACCCTCTTCTGCAAGCTCGCTCGGATCCCCAAATTGGAAGAGAAAACTGCCATCATCATGTTCTGCCCCAAATACAAATTATACTGATAAATAAGTGTTTCAACTTCTGAGGAAATATATATACTTCTCCTCCCCAAAAGTCGTTTTTTTATTTTTAAAAAAAAATTGCAGCTGTTTATATTTTAGTGGAGTAAATTATTTGAAATAGTCAAACATAACTACTTGTATAAATCTTTTGTGGAAAATTCATGTGAATACTCTCAAAATTTTGAGATTTTACAAGGATACTCCAAGATTGCATTATTATCACCAACATCCCCAGAAATTCAATAATTTCTCAATAAAACTTAAAGATTGCATATTGATAACAGATAGGTGTCAGAATTTGGGGGGGTCGATGTAACCTAAATATTCTCCTGGAGTATTTTTGTAAATGTGTTTTACTTTTGGGGTGATAGTTATCCAATCTTGGAGTATCTATGTAAAATCTCAAATTTATGGGAATATTAGCATGGATTTTGCGGTTAAGCCTAATTATTTGTTGGTTAAACTAAATTTGACACCCACCTTTTTGGTACACAAACACTAAATATGATTAGAATTAGGTTCCCTTTTGTTCAAAAAGAACTCTTTTTGGCACTAAAACTAGGTTTTTGAAGTAATCTTTTTTTTGGAAGGAGGGAGCAGAGCAAATTAAGAAGGCAACAAACTCAACTCATCTATAAAAACCCAAACTTTCACTGAAAAGACTGATGGATTAAACTTGTAAAATGGAAGAACAATAACAATACTGCAAAAAAAGGATGGGTAAATAAGGGTACCGTGAGTTGAGATGATTTCAACAACAAGTTGGGAATCGGGTCTGCAAAAGAATGAGATTTGAGGGAGTTTTCTTGTTCTTCTTCTACAATTACTGCTACAGCTTCCAGCTTGGATGGTTCTTGGAAGAGCCGGGAGTGGGAGAAATGGCTTGGAATTAAAGAAGAGTGCAGAATTGGAAAGGAGATCCGCCATTGGGTTTCTTCTCTTCTCTTCTCTTCTCTTCTCTTCTCTTCTCTTTAGCAGCTCAGCTAACTCTTGCGGAGTAGATTCTTACTCTGTTATTATGTCCTCCAAACGCCCGAGCACACATCTTGGAAAAATGAGAGAAGACAACTCCACATAAACGGTTTGAGGTCTTTTTCTCAATAGCTTAAGAGATAGCTTTAAGTAGGTTATGTATTGACATGCTTTAGTACGAGCGTTTTTAAAATAATTTTCAATCTTTAAAATTTTATCCAAAATACTAACGTTATTCTTAAACAGCCCCGTGGGTCGTTCAATACTTCAACCCTTATTAATAAAAATTGTGATTTTATATACTCCGTAGTCCGTATTTAGAAAAATATATTTTTAAAATAAATATGGAGTACGGAGTAAATATTGATCTATATATTTTTCTAGAAAATAAAATATTATTTTAATAAAAATTTGAATGAACCCAATTATATTTGTATTCTAGGACTTAGAGGTAATAGAAACCTTAAATCTAAATAATCAAATTCGAGAAGAGGGGTATATACGGAGGGAAATAAAGAAAATCAAACGTGTCTCTCTTTCATAGGTCTCCCTTCCCAAAGTGATGGAAGACCACTCTAACATAAATAAGTTCAAAAATGATACCTTGTGCAATATTGGGTTGCAGGCCAACTAGCCAACACTCACTACTCAAATGAGCAGTTGGAGAAAAGACTAAAATAAAGGTGGAAATATATCAAAATGGGAATTTCGTATTTTTATTTCTAAAATTGGATACATCACCAAAAAATATTATGAAATGTCTATATACAGTTACAAATTATCACAATGGAAACTTCTATTTTGAGATAAAAACATTAAACTCTTATTTTAGTACTTTATTTATGTTTTACTCATATTTATAAAGATTTCTTCTTTAAATAGTTTAACTTACTAAGCGAATGTTGAGGGTCATTTCCCTGCATGTGTAGGATTGTTGAATTGCATTCCATTATATGCAACTTTAGTATATACTTTCCCAAATAAAGCAAAGCGGATTAGCTTACTCCGTTTTATCTGCAGTATCCACCAGAAACGGAGTAGCCAACTCCGTTCCAATGATTTAAATAGAGAAACGGAGTAGCCAACTCCGTTCCAATGATTTAAATAGAAAAACGGAGTAACTAACTCCGTTCCAATTAATTAAATGTTTAAACGGAGTAGCCAACTCCGTTCCTTGTATTTTTTTAATTTTTTTAAAAATGAATTATTAGTTTTATTTCATATATTTGAAAAACTTAAAAAATTATTGACATATACTGAAACAAACAATCTACTAACAACAAATTCATAAAGTAAATAAATATTTATTGACTAATAATGCATCGTACACTGAATTACAAATAAGAAGTAAATTAAAACAAATTTATTGATAGAGTACATAAAATTTATCCATAAAATTTAGGATACAAAACACATGACATAACTAATTTATTTTTTTAAAATCAGAAAACATAAACTTGAACATTTGAAATCCATGATATAGCTATTGTTCATTGCGACGTCGTCGTGGTCGATAGTCCATGTTAAATGTATTAAATGTAACAAAAAATACTAAAGATAGTGGCTACCAGTACCACAACGTGGACGACGTCGATTACGTCGTGGACGAAGACCCTCCTCTCCTTCACCCTCCACTTCTACGTCATCAACTGTCTGGTGGATTACCAGCGGTGTAATAGTGGAGACAAAATGTCCAAACTCATTTGTGAGGTGACTTTCCTAAGTAAAGTAATCACCCCTAAACACATCTCCATCAAACGTCACTGGTGATACATCGTGCATGCGCCTCTGAGGATGCTCTATGTGGAATTCAGGAGGATGTGAACTCGACGGCTCAACCATGCAAGAAGGTGTGAACTCGACGGCTCAACCATGTAATATCAGAAGTTTGAGGCCGAAATCCCATCATGTCCTCACAAATCTGAATCCACTGGTCTCTGGATCGGCCAGTCATCCCCGCCAATGGATTGCCATCTACGGGCAATCCCAGTAAAACCTCTACATCCTGTAAAGTAATTCCAACCTCTACGAAGGGAAGATGGAATGAATGGGTCTCCGGCCTCCATCTCTCCACTAGAGCTGTGATCAAAGCCCAGTCCAACTGCAAGCCACCAACTTTCTCAACCCCATAAAATCCGTATTCTCGTAAAAACTCACTCACACGAACCGGTCTATTAACAATAAGAGTCCTCGTATACAAACTAGTACAAGTCCTGTGACACTTTAATACTTTTTTAGCATATTCTTCTTCGGCCCAAACCGCATCACACCTATGGTCTCCCGCTTCAATTACTAAAACATCGCGTAAAATAGGTCCCGGATGTACATTCATTTGCTTCAAAGATTACAACATAAGAATATATTCAATTAATAAAAATATAACAAGACAATTATATTTAAAAAAAATCATGAAGTAACCACCTATACATACATACAAATTTGTATCAAATTTGTAAGATTAAAACTATATATTTGTCAATATTTTCACATCATCAAAACAAATATAACAAAAAAAGCACCTATACATACAATCTATTTACTAAATCATATACAACAACAATCAAACAAATTTTAAAAAAAAATTAAAGACAAAACGGAGTACCTGACTCCGGTTGCGTTGGGTCCGTCGATCTCCCCCTCGTCACACTTCTCTCTCCCTCGGCGTTTCCTTCTCTCTCGGCCAGGCTTTTCCTTCTCTCTCGGCGTTCTCTCTCGGCGTGACCAAGAGTAAAAAACGAGTGGATGGGGAGGGGAGTGGATAGGTTATTTGAAGGGACACGGAGTTAGTTACTTCGTCTGGGTATTATTAAATCCGAACGGAGTAGGGTACTCCGTCTCAGAAATAAAATCATGAGAAACGGACTAGCCTACTCCGTTTTGTTTATTATTTCGAAATCAAACGGAGTAGGGAACTCCGTGATGCACTGCCAGGAAATAAAACACTGACTTACACTGCCAGGAAGTATTTTTAATTTGTTTACATATATCGGGAGTTTACTCGAATGTTGAGGAGCTTAAATCCAAACAAGGATGGGCCCATGAGGAGTGAGGCCGAGCTCGTGTGAGATGTGGCTTAGCTAAAACAAGAGGGGACACATTTAATTATACTAACAGAATATCGTAGGTCCTTTAATTAAACTGGTCTCAATAAAAATTTCTGACCAAGCAACCCATGATATTGAGAACGATATTCAAACCATAAGATATGGACTAGCTTGGTCTATCCAAATATTTATCTAAAATAATATGTTTAAAAACAGAAAAATAGTCTGTATATTCTAAACATGAAATAATCTTGAACATAACCTCATAATTATAACGGAAATTTTTAAGAGCATGAAATCCAAAAGCAATATACATCAATTATATAAGTACTAATGTCATTTGACTTATTCTTATTACTTATTACTTTTTCTTATTAGAATTAGATCAGATCAGACTAGATTAAAAATAACTTTAAATACAATTATATTCAAATCTGATCAGTTAAGACCAGATCAAAACTTAATTCCAACCAGATCAAAATCATTCAAATCCAATGAAAAGAACATGACCTAAGTACGAAAACTCAAATCTAGAGTAAAGACTAAACTCATATTATATATAGTTAAATGTGAAGTATCAATAAACCAAAAACCAAATACATGTTCATATAATCATCACCATCCTCTATAAGATTCAGAAACAACCAGCTTTTGATCAATGAGAAATAAGTGGATAGTTGGAAGCAGAAGCACCAATTATCCCAAAAATCAACCAGCCTTTGATAAAAAAAAAAGATTTTTTATAAGTAATAATAATAAAAAAGCCATTGATAAACAGTTTCTTCTTCCCCTTCTTCTACTCTACTCGCTGGTGCCGGTGGCCATCAAAAACTCACCCTCGCAAACCAGGTCGCCTCCCACATAGGCTTTCCCTTCCATCTTTGCAATCCCAAATCGCTTTTGGAGCTTGGTGAGTGTCATCCTCATCACCAATGTATCTCCCGCGACAACAGGCTTCCGGAACCTCACTTTGTCAATCCCTGCGAAGAAGAAATTGCTGCGCGAGCCTCCCACTTCCGGCTGCAGCATCACCACCCCACCTACCTGCGCCATTGCCTGCAACCGACCGGAAAAAAAAACAATCATCAGGTTGCTGAAAATTACCAACTGCGCAAATACAGAAAGAGATGCCTAAAAAGCACTTCTCTGCTCATTACACATGCGGCATTACTAAACAAGCCAGACAAAAAAACTAATACTCCCTCTCTCTCGGCGTATTTGTCCACATTCTTTTTGGCACATGGACCAATGTACAGGGGAAAAAGAGAATGAAATGGTCATTCTACCCTTACTTTTACTTTTTGGATGAGAAATTAGTGCATTAGGTAGTGTCACCCCATTTCATTTCTTTAACACTATGTTTGATTCAAGGATTTTGAAAGGGAAAAGAAAAGAAAACGAGAGGGGAAATAATTTTTCATGTTTGGTTAGAGAGGAAAAGAAAAGAAAAGTGGGAGGAAAAGAAAATGAGAAAGCAAAATGTACTAAAAGGAAGGAAAACCAAATTCCTCTCATTTTGGTGAGGAAAATGAGAGAAGAGTCAGAAGACCATTTTATTTTCTTTTCCTTTCAAAATTGTTAAACCAAACATAGCATAAATGAAAAGTGGGCAATACATTAAGGCGATCCTAAAAGGAATACTAGATAATGCACTAGAACTGAGGGAGTATATCACATTCAAGAGTAGGGTATGACGAGGCATGGCATGTGTATAACTTACATCTACTCTTAGAAATAGAGGTTGTTTCTGAAAGGACTCTCACAAACAATGACCCATAGTGTGAAGAGTGAAAACACACAAACAACACACCACATCACATCTATGGCACTCACATACAAAGCCTGCAAGGACTCATATCTAACATACAAACATGCATTTACAAACCCAAGACTATCTAAAGCTTCTTTCTTGTACATTATATAGAAAAACCTCCACCTGCAAAGACCCATCGGCCTTGTAAACTGCTTTCTAATAAGATCAACACTATTCAAGCTCGAATCCACAAATTACAATGTGGGTTCTAATATCAACAAACTCAGTTGAATGACACAAAAAGTAGAGTCAGACTCTGGCTCAACCACAGAAGTAGAGACAGCAAAACCACATAAGCACACTAAAGATTGTGGTTTCTAATGAATCTATAGAAATTTCAATGGCAACTGAAGACCACAGCGCTAAAGATCCTAGAAGGTGAATTGTATACCTCAATCATGAGAACCCCGGGCATGATTGGCCTCCCGGGGAAGTGACCATTGAAGAACTGGTCGTTAATGGTAACATTCTTGATTGCCACAGCTGAAACTCCGGGATTGTACTCAATTACTCTATCGACCAGCAAAAATGGATAGCTACAAAACAGAAGCCCCAGATAAATAACCAAACCTATTGATAAAGACCATCCAAGCAAAGATTGAATCTTTTTTATAGCAAAGTGAAAACCTTACCGGTGCGGCAGAATATCCATAATCTGATTGATATCAACCACGGTCGGAAATGATGGGTACCCTAAGGAAACATTTTTTTAAAAAAAATGAATTTCAAGAAACACGCAGTAAAGAATTATAAAGATGGAAACTTTTGAAACAGAAATTCATAAAGAAAGAATGCATACTCAATTCAATGGGGGTTTCAGTCTTGGTGGCCGGCGATTCAATGTCGGCCGGTGCACATCTGGCGATGAAACTGGTCTGGGTTTTATCGCATTGGACCGATATGGGGTGGAATTTCACGGGCAGCGATCGGTTAAAGGAGAGGGGAGGAGATTTGTGGACGATGTTTCCCCTGCGGGAGATTGGCGAGTGAGCGTTGAGGGTGGAGAAAAGCGAATGTGAGAGAGCAGTGGAAGCCATTTCTGAAAGCTCACTTTCTATCTCTCTCTCTCTCTCTCCCGGATGCGTTTGAAGAAGACGAAGGAGTCAGGAGAAGATGGGTGAAGAAAGGGAGCGATGGGCGTAGTGTTATTGTGCGATGTGAGTGAAGGGGGCGATAGTTACTAGGAGGAGGAGATTAGGTGTGGAGACACGCTTCTTCTACTTCAATAAAACTTGAATGATACGGAGTATCTCTTAGGGAGTAATTGGTTGCAAGTTAAAAATTAAAATAGAATCCAAGAGATGGAGTCCAAGAGACCCGTAGAATGTGGGTGACATTTAATTATAAAAGTATGTTTGTGGATGACTTGAACTATGATCTGACTTATAATACTTTTAAAATTGTTGAGTTGCCAAATTTTTAAAGATTTGTATTTTTTGCAAAAAGACAACCAAATAAATTGATCTCATCTGAAATTTGACCCTAAGGATATACGGAGTAATACGTATAAAATTGATAAATACGCTTGAGATTAAAAAAATATTTGTATTATACGTTTATCACATGAAAAGTTTGTATTCGAGAGTATAACATGTGTATCATGCGTAAGAGTGTATAATACATGTATTATACGTGAATAAGCTAACAGAGGTTACGAAGACATCTGATGGGTAATAACCCAAGGATACCACCCGGTTGGTTCACCGAACAGCACGCGTCTTTCTCAGCCCGGGTTATTTGACCGGTTGGATGGGGAGACCAGACGCCAATACCCGAAGATCTACTTTCAAAGTGCACCTGGTGGGCCGGTCAGCCGCCTGACCGGTTGGATAATCAGAGACGTGCTTGACGTGCTTAGGATTATTATAAATACCCCTAAAAGCCTCATTTGTGAGGCATGCTTTAATTAACCTGCACCACTTGTATTTGTAATAACTCCTATTATCATTAATAACAAATCGGGTTACAGGTGTTTCCACCTACAACCCTTCCGATTACTCATACTTAGTATTTGCGTGGTAATTTACACCATCAACATCCATTATAGAATACTCCCTCCATCCGAGAAAGATCTTTCCGGTTTAACTTTTAATCATTTTTAGTGAGTGTTGACTATGACATTAAAATGTCTAAATAAAATACCCTCTTAGCTTTGCCCCCAGCACAATCTGTCTATCCTACAGACACCTCAAACCCCACCGCTGCCCGAACCCCACCCACCACCCACCACCGCCCACCGCTTCCCCAGCCCCCAACCACACCATCTCCACCAGCACTTGTGTCGCCGCCAGCCCCAACCACAATTGCCAGTCTTTTTGTATCGTTGTCATCCCCCACTATCGCGGATTTGGAAGAAAGAGAAGACAGATGAGGAAGGGAAGAAGAAGAAGAAGGCAGAGAGAGTGATTGAGGCACAAATTTGTTTAGAAGTTGTGTGTTAAAAAAGTATCTACCATTTTCGAATTCGAGTATTCGGATACAAATTTAAATACATCAAATATGCTCTTGAATCAAATTGAACATTTTTTAGATACAAATTATTATCAAATTTGAACTCAAATATTTGTTATCCTAAACAAATCCGAATGGAATATCTTGATATTTGATTTGATTCTGGCTTACATTTTATTTAATTTTAATTACGGTAAGTCTAAAATGACACTAGTGCTACTGATGTCATTTGCTTACACCAATTCGTTTGGGGTAACTATGGTGTTCCGTTTGTAAAAACGACGGTTCCTACCCCTTAACCCCCCCTAAACCCCCACCACAGCCGCACCCTTGCCCCCCCACCCCAGCCCCCCTCCCTACCTTGGCAGTACCTTAGGGGGAGGGTTAGGGGGGTAGGAACCGTCATTTTTACAAACAGAGCACTGTAGATACCCTAAACGAACTAATGTAAGTAACTGGTGTATAAGTAACTGGTGTCATTTTAGACGCTTCCTTTTAATTATATGGCTTACTTTTCAGACAAAGGAAGGAAAATAGTAACGTTTACGGGTGTTTGGCAGATATGAAGCGAAGGTAGAAAGAGAGAATTGTGGTGTAGCAGCGAAGGGAAGGAAAGGAAATAAAGTGTGGAACGGTGTCGTTGCAGACTTGTTGCTGCGGTGGTTAAAGCCGCTGCGAGACGATCCGATCCACCGCCTCCCGATGGATTTCCGCATCTCCGGCGGCTCTCCTTCATCGTCTTCCACCTCCTCTACCGACCCTCACAACTCCTCCACGTCTCACCGTCGTCGCCATCAGAACGGCGGCGCCGACAACAATAGCAGCGACCCGATGCACTCCTGGTGGGAGTCCATTTCCAAAGCCCGTTCTCGCATCCAACTTCTCTCCAGTATTCTCCCCTCCGACGACCCCACCGCCGTCGCATCTCTCGTCGACTCCGATCGCCCCGCCCGTTCTCTCCTCCTCTCCCACCCCGCTTACTCCTTGCTCTCCACTTCCCTCTCCGCTCCTTCTGCCGGCTCCGGCGAAGATCCACTCTGCCACTGGCTATACGACACGTTCCTCAGCGACGATGCCGATCTCCGCCTCGTCGTCATCTCCTTCATCCCTCTCCTGTCCTCCATCTACCTCTCCCGCGTCCACTCATCCTCCTCCACCTCCCCCACGCCATCTCTCTCCGGTTTCGAAGCCGTCCTCCTCGCTCTCTACTCCGCCGAAACCAAATCCCGAGCCGGAAAGCCGATACTGGTCTCAATTCCAGATCTCTCCCAGCCGTCTGTTTATCACACTCCGAGAGCCCCGATTCAAAACAGACCGTCATCGATCCGGCCGGCCGTCGGAGTATTATCCCCTGCTCTCGAGCCACAGATCGCCGTGAAATCAACCAAACGCGCCTCAATCGTCGGAGTTGCGCTGGATTCTTACTTCAAACAGATCTCACAAATGCCCAGTTGGTCAAAGGTTGACTTTTGTAGGTTTGCAGCAGATTGGGCTGGCCAGGACTGCCCCTGTGTGTGGGAATTGGACGAGACGCATCACGGTAAATTAGAAAATCTGTTCTCAGACAATTCTAGGATTCTCGACGGCCTCACAGAAGAACTCAGAAACATGGAGATTGAAGAGAAACCAGGAGGTGATTCTTCCAAGGCCCGAATCCCACTGCCATGGGAGCTCTTGCAGCCAGTGCTGAGGATTGTAGGGCATTGTCTGTTAGGCCCTTTAAATGCAGAAGATGTGAAGAATGGGGCATCAGTTGCCGCGAAGCATTTATACGCAAGGGCTCAACATGACTTGGTTCCAAGGGCAATTCTGGCAACGAGGAGCCTCGTTCAGCTGGACAGGAGAGCTCGAGAGGCTGCCCGAGCAGCTGATGCGTCTGGTCCTGCATCAAATGCTACCACGCCAAGTAAAGCCAAGAAACCAGAGGTTCTTCTAGTTTCAAAATGAGTCATCAGACCAATTTATGTAAGGTTTTCAAATTCTGAATCTCTCCTTAAATGTTTGTTTGTGTTGTAGGTTAGAATCTCTAAAGACTTCCAAAAAAAGGAGCAAATTGTTCATGTATTTATATATTTATATGTTCACATCATTATTTTTTTGTTACTTCAATGGGAAAAAAGAATCACAATGCTTAAGTACCTATTTGTTTGCTATGTGTTGGCTTGTTTTGGTTTTGTCACTTTAAAGCCTGAGATGGATTTCTTGCTGCGGGTGTTATTGCTGACCAGCTATGAATTTCTAGTTCTTGTTGTTCATAATATGTTCATTTCTTGATTTCTTGTTCTTGGTTTCTCATGTGTTATTACAGTGGCTTGAAGATTGTGTTCCTGTTATATATTGTCTTAGATGGAGTCATTGTCTGTGAAAATTCATTATCTGTCAAACACAACCTTAGTGTTACTCATGATTTGATTGTAGTATGACCCCTTTCTAGAATATTGTTCGTGTGGATTGTGGACATTTCAAGAATGTTGAATTTGTTTCCCTATAAGTAAGAATTAAAGATACAATTTGATGGATGAATTTGCCAGAAATGAAGGCAAATCAGTTGTTTGTCAAATGCTAGTCCCTCCTTTGCTCATAGATCTTTTATTATGCATAACGAAGGTTTTGGCCGATTTTATTTTTCAATTTAAATTGTTTGATTGTAGTTGTTAAACTTAAAAATAAAATTTATATAACAAAAAATTAAATGAAAGTTCTACAAAACAAGAGACGATAAGACTATACGTATTATTGTATGAAATAAGTAGTATTTGACACATTTATGGGTGACCGACCGATTAAATCATTTGATAAATTTTTTTAACCCTGGACTCGGAATTCTTTTACCATTCTAATATATTTATTCAATTTGACTTTTTCAAGTCAACTTGAATAAACTTAAACTTTAACTACTCTCAATTTAATTGTGTACTCTGTATTAGCATAACGAAATAAAATTTTAAAAATTTTCAACAAGATAAATCTCATAAAATTATTTTTATACTAATATAGTACATCAATTTTTTTGTTTAATTAAAGTTAAATTTAATTGCGTTTAACTCGAAGAAATCAAGCTGAATGAATATACTAAGACGGATGGAGTATATGCTAGTATTGGACTAGTATTTGGTAGTATGATTCTGTTGTTTTATTTCTCTAGTATAATCACTTCATTTTTAGTTCTCTAGCTTTCATCATTACAAATTTAATGAAGTTTAACATCGAGACTATATCGATGGACTCTACAACAACAATAATTGAGTAGAATTTTGTAATAGCAGGGTCTGGGATGAATTTGGTGACTGTGAGAGTGTGAGTCATGTGATATTTGGGCAATTGGTTCTGGTTGCTACTTGAGGTACCAATATTGATGAATCTGATAATTGAAGGATCAAAAAAGTAATTTTGATAGAAAGTGAATTGATTAAAAGATTCAGAACTAATTTTATCCCCGCGGGAGTAAATATATTTTTCATGGTAAAGTTCATTCAAATTCGAGCCCCATCAAAGGTGAAGACATTAACTCTTTCTGAGTCAATAATACGGAGTACTAAAAAAATACTTCAGTACATTTCTCGGCTCAAATAACTAGACAATTCTTCACCATTAATTAAAAAACTCAACATATCATCATCTATTAATTAAATGTAATAGTTACAAATCAAACTTGAACCTTTATATGAACTTACAAGAAACGCTCGGTTTTGAAAAGGTTATGTACGGGCAGCGTTAGCGTTTTCAAAGTAATCTATACCGTCAAAATTTTATCCAAAACGCTAACGCTATTCCCAAACAGACCTTATGTGGTTAGAGCGTTTGCACCGGTTTTGTGGTTAAACTGTTCTCACCATTTTTTTTGACACACGGGAGAATTGTTTTACACGTGTCAAGTGGAAAAAAATATTGGTAAAAATTGTTGTGGATCCTATTGTGTGAACGAGGTGAGGGAAAAAAAAAGAATTTCCTCACTAATTGGATGCAAGTAAATAAAAATGCAGACCAAAATGATGATATGGACAATGGATCAGACAAAAAAAATCACACCAAAACTTTGCTCAAAGAACATAAGGAGTACATCTTTGTAAAATTTATGTACAAGGCTAACGGCTGCCAAACAATTCAAAAATGTTTTCAGATAGAAGTGGCAAACATTACCATATTTCACATCATTTAAGCTTTTACTCTTACAAAGATTTCCAAACTTTAGTTTCCAAACATAAAACTTCCCATTCAAATTTCCAAACATAAAACTTCCATTCAAATCAAAGCAGTACCCAAGCTCCAAGCTTCTTTTTTTTTTGCAGATTCTATACCTCCGCATATTAGAGATGTCTACAATATTCAAAACACACAAAAACACAAAATTATTATTACAGAATATAGGCGATAATTTAACTTAACTTTTGCAGTCAAGCTTCATCAAATTTGATCAGTACGAAAGCTTACCAGCCAGAGTCGATGACTCTCAGCGCTGATGAAATAGCAAATGGGCTATGGATCGATCCACGGGGTTTGTATCCGCCTCCATATCCACATACCCAACACACCTTCAATAACGAAAAAAAACAAAAAAAACGTCTCCGTTAGCACACAAAGTTTCCTCCCAAATCAGCCAAAAATGAACCAAATCTTTGAGCTATGGAGCATTGGAATACCCATTGTGTCAATACAAACCTTTTAGTATTAGCTATCAAATCCCCACTTGCATCTCCATTGAGGTTAGGATGTCTGTTTCTCTGTTCAGCACTTCGAGCCAATCTGTACAAACTGTCTCTTATGCATAGCTTTGTCTTCAAATCAATCTAAACGAGAGACGGGGAAAAATTTTGAGCATGAAATCATTCCGAAGGGCTATAACCACAAGCTTAAACATTTGGATGAGTTGGTTTCTTGACAATGTGTTTATGTTCGGTTATTATAAATGAAGAATGAAGTTGGAAGCTGGTAAACATAGTTAACACACCGTTTCCATGACATGTTGAAGTTGGCGAAAACTATTAGCCTCTTCTGAAGCATTTTCATTCACCCCTGAAGAACAATCCAATTCCATTGGAGCTTTCATGCTCACTCCATCCATGTCAATTTGCTTCTTCTTCTTCTTCTCTACCCTTCTTTCATCTGGAAAGGTGGGGCCCACCTGGTAAGAAGGTCTCAGGGTGGGCGGCGGCACGCGAGAATTCTCTGGGTCCCACAGATTCCCCCCGTAACAATCGCCGCCACTGGATTGGTCAGTCACGCCCGAATAGTTGATTGCGTCCTCAGCCACTGAAATCATCTTCAGTGCGGTGGGTGAAAGGCATGACGACAAGTTAAAATCTGGCCTCGTTCCTTCTCCACACCCTTCTTCAATGGCATCTAAAGATGAAAACCAACCTAAGCTTTCATCACCATAACTGGTCCCAAGCCCAAATGTAGAAGAATCACAACTTCTGCAAGACAATATCAAAAAGTCATTCCCTACCTTAACCTTTCTTTCTTCGTGTGTGTACCTAAATAAACTTCACATTTTCAAAAAAAGAAAAAAGAAAAAAGGAGAAAGGGTACCTGAACATCCTGTCAACATCATCAAAGTTCCCAAGCTCATCAGGCCAACCATAATCCAAGAAGAGATCACTAGAATGTTTCCCATCATCATAAGGATCATCTAAGAAACCGAGGTCATTTTCTGCCCGAGGAACCTGACCAAGTGATGAGTTCCCATCAACTCCCACCTTCTCGCCAACAAGACGATGCCCATTATTAGCACAAATGTCACTTCCAGTGGACTCCGATGATATTTTTGAAGCTCTTTCCGCCGCGTGGCTGCCGAGTGAGGTAGGAAATTCCCATCCACCTGGCGCCTCGTGCCAATATCCATTTTCCAGCATTTTCAACCTAGCTACTCTTATTTTCTTCTTCTTCTTCTTTGGTTTCCTTTGGCTTTGTAAGAAATTCAGTCAAGAATATTTCTTGGAGTTGAAGAGATATTTAGTCAAGGACTTTATCTGTAATGAATACTACAAGAAGATTAGTCATGGCCAAATGCCCAAATCATACTCTAATTATATGTTGGTGTGACAAGTTTTATGCTAGTGAATGAATATGATTTAACTGGTACTTAAGTCTAACAATTCAATTAATAAAAATTGTTCTCTTCCATTCCAAAAAAACTTCATAGTTCTCACAGAGAAATATGTGGTTGTTCTCACAGGGTCCGTTTGGTACACGGAATTGACGGAATATGAATGGAATTTGAATTGAATTTGATGGAATTGAGTTCTCCAATTCCAATTCACTTTTTGCACTACCAATTCCAAATTCATTTATTCTTTGTGCTACCAATCACCAAAATTGGAATTGAAGTTCTCAATTCCAATTCCACGACTTAAATTCAGTGTACCAAACTGAGCCTAAACGAAATTAAATAGCAAAGTTTAACAATTTTCTTAAATCCTGCAAAGTCAAAGGCTCAATTTCTTCTTGTGAGGGAGGGAACAGAACAGATAAACTTGATATATAGCTTTGAATATGAATTCATGGCAAGGAAATGAAAACAAAACACTGTATAATCACTAGAATCGGAAATCACGCCAAAAACTCACCGGAAATACTGAATAGCCGAAAACCACGGCGGCGAACACGGCGGCAGCAAACACCTAACGCCGCCAGCTACAGCGCTGATTGGACGATTCTGGGAAACCCAAATCTACGAGGCTTTAGACGACGGCGTGGGCTTTTTCTTTTCTTTTATTTTTTCTCCATTCGACAAAACTTCGACCGTGTTATTATTTGCGTGGTGGAGATGGGTCCCACGTGGCAGGCGACCGGAATTTGTGGCGGCTGAGCGCTCTCCCCGGGTTGGGTGGGGGGGGGATCACACAAACTAGTGGCTGAGAGTGCCGGTGGAGATACGATCTGTTTCCTTCTCCTCATTGGCCCACGTCGTCTCCGAATTGCCACGTGTCGTCCGCTCAGAGTGCGCTCTCATTTTGTTGTTTTTTTTATTTAGAAAAAAACGAGAATAAGGCTCGAACAACCAACCAATTAAATCGCCCCTTTTAAATCCGGAAGGACCGGCTAAGATTTTACTGGTTACTCCCTCCGTCCGGAAATATTCTTCCCACTTTCCTTTTTTAGTATACTTTTTAAGGATAAATTTTAATAATACCCTTCTATTTAATCACTAATCTACTTTTTTATTGCTTTTTTAATGAGAAAATGAGATTTAAAAGTTTATAGTATGTGCATTTTTGGAAATTTGGTATCTTTTTATGATTCCTTAATAAGCGTGCCAAGTCAACACGGGAAGAATATTTCCGGACGGAGAGAGTAATATTTTATTATTTTGTAAAAATAAAATGACCTGAATAATAGAAAAATTATTTGATAATATTCATAAATGGTGAGAGAAGATTTTATAAATAATTTAACCATACGAAAAATGAAAATATTGATTTAAAAAATAATTATGGAAGAGACATTTACTTTTTCTGGCTTATAAAAACAAATAAGTCAAATTTTAGGCAAAGAACATATCATTAAAAGACTTATAAGCTAAACATATTATAAACAATTTTGTTGTTAAGTTCATAAACACTTAGGTAGGTGTATTCAATTCTGATTTTAAAAGATTTTGATATGTTATTTAAAATATATGGATTACGTAAAGTCAATGGATTATTTTAAGTCTATATAGAGTTAGATAGATTTTAATATATTTTTTAAAAGGATTTTATAGAATTGTTTAGGATTGTTTTTCTTCCTTCATTGTTCTTTCTGGCTCTGGTTCTCCGGACTCATTTTCATCCTCCTCTCATCCGTTCCTTTTTTTAATCTTTTCTTCTTCTTTCTCTTTTTTCTCCTCTTTGTCTTTTTTTCTCAGAAAATTACTCACGGGTGACGCAAGTTTTGTCGAAATAACTCTCAGGTCTCTCTATTTTCAAGAAGACCACGGAGATCCTTACATTCTGTTGTAATGACTATGAGGGGACATTCCACCCAATATTTCATCCATAAACGTAAATAAATGTATTTTTTTCCTATTTTTTTCTAAATGTTTTAAGGTAATAAATCTTAGATCACTTCTTCTTTTATTTCTTTGTTTTTCTTTTTTTTACTCTTTTTTAAAGTGTTATTTTAGAATTTTTTTTCTATAAAATCGAATAAAAATTTAAAATTGTTTGTATTATATTAAAATAAATGAAATAAAATATTTTGTAAAAAAGAAAAAATCGAGTAATGGCAAAATAGGAAAAAACGGTAATGGAAAAATAGGAAAAAAATACATTTATTAACATTTATGGATGAAATATTGGATGAAATGTCTCCTCCTAGTCATTACAACAAAATATAAGTACCTCAGTTGTCTTTTTGAAAATAGACGGACCTGAGAGTTATTTCGACAAAACTCGCGTCACCCGCAGGTAATTTTCTGCTTTTTTTCTTCTTTCGTTCTTTTTTTCTTCCTCCTCTCCTTCTTCTCCTTCTTCTCCACCTTTCTCCCCTGCCAATCTATCCCTCTTCTTCTTTCTCCTTTTTTTCTTCTTCCTCTTTCTCTCCTCCTCCTTCCTCCCGATAGATCTATGCCAATTGTTCTTTCTCCTCCTTCCCCCTTGTTCTTCTCCGTCACCATGCCCGCCGTCGCCTCCGTCCCTGCCGGCGCGTCTATGTTTGGGTACAACTATGAACACACAAATTGCAATGGCCAACCACGCAATCGAGAGAATGGTATGCAACATTTTGATACCTTCTGGCTTCCCTGTCAACATCCATGTCGGCGTCTCCATCCCTGCCGGCGTGTCTCCCTGAGTTCAGACTTTCTGATCTCCCGATTCGTTTTCTTTCTTTACTTCAGCTTCATTTCCAAATCGGTCAAAATCTTTGCACATTGTGGCAGATTTGTAAAATGAATTTTCTTTATAAAAAGAACTTCAAAATCCATCAAAATCCACAAATAATAAAAATCTTTCAAAATCTATAAATTATTTAATACCATAAGATTTTAACAGACATTTTAAAATCTAAAATCAATATCCTCATATTTTGAATTACTTTTTAAAATCTCAATTGAATACCCATTAATAACTTTTAGAATCTAAAAAAATCCTACAAACTCTTGATTCAATACACCCCTTAGGCTCTGTTTGAAAGTCAAAAAAATGACTTTTGGAAGTCATTTTCCTCATTTTGAGTCTTTGGCAAAATAGGAAAATAAAAGTCAATGGAAATTAACATTTGGTCAATCGGAAAACGAACCCACTTTTCCGTAATCTAACTTCCAAAAAAACTCCAAGAGACAGTTTATGTCATTTCTTCCTCGCCTCGTTTCTTTGTGCTCGTTTAGCAAAAATTATGATACGATTTCAATTCCAATTCCATGCATCAATTCTGCATACCAAACGGACCCGCGGGGATTTTGGATTAATCAAGATCTGAGTTTTTTTTTGTTCCTCGAATCCTCTTTACTTTAAGAATATTTTTGTTGCTTTATTGATTAAGAATTTAATGGCTTATTTTGATTATTAAGAAGATACATTTACCTAAATAAGACTAAAACATATTGACTTTTCCAATATAAGACTATATGTTTTTATTTTCTCAATGTAGGACATTCGATCATTATCAATTACTCATTATTCAAGTAATGTCAATCATTACTAGACATTATTTCTTCCACTAGACATTATTAAGTCCTATTTAAAAAATAAAAAAGTTTAAGTCCTATATTGGGAAATGACTATTAAGAAGTGTATCTTTCAAATTTCACTATTAAGAGCATCTCCAATGGGTAGTGAAAAAAATGAGAGTGTAAACCTTCTTTTACACTATCAACAGTGTTTTACACTTCCACTTTTTTATATTCACTCCAACCATATCTTTTTAAAAATACATTTTTATATTATTTTAGTATATATTTCATAGTTTAATTTTTAATCTTTACTAACAAATTTACAAATCTACAAAACAAAATCCATAATTGCATATCAAAAGGAATTTGTAGTTGCCGACATCAAAATGAAAAAAAAAACACAGCCGCCTAGCTTGAAATTGCAGGCAATCACAACAATTTTTTTATGCAAATCCAAATCTCCATAGTTGCAGAGGAGCAACGAAACAAAATATTTAGCGATTGGCGAACGGGAAGAGCTCGATTGGCAATTGGCAAAGCAGAGAAGATAGCAACGAACAAGCGGAACTTGATTTCCACTATCTACCCTAGCGTGTATATTTGGCATTTGAGAATGGAAAAATACACTAATTTGAAAACGCTAACGATAAACGCTGTCCGTAGATAGCCTTTTGAAAATGCTAACGCTAATCTCGAATGCTATTCCCAAACAGGCCCATATATAGTGGACTCACTTATGGCAATTATTAGAGACTTTTTCGATTTTAAATTAATTAATCTTCCGTCCTAAAACTATCTTCTCATTTACTTTTCACACAATCAAACTTAAATCACTTTCTTTACCTATTTTCGTTAGTTATTTGATAAAATAATATAGTATTCTCACCTCTTGTTTTATAGAATTTTTGATGTAGTTTTAAAATATATAAATTTTAATTTTTAATTTTACTTCTACAATCAAATAAATTGATTTAAAAATAAAATCAGTCAAACCTCGTAAACACAAACAGGAAGATAGTTTTAGGACGGAGAGAGTATATTATTCAAGATTGTAAACTAGTGCACATAGCTTTCAAAACCAGACCGGTGACCGAACCGGTCAAGGTACTGGTTCACTGGTTTACTGGTCGAACCAGTGGTTCAACTAGTCGAACCGGTGGTCTAAAGAAAGTAATTTATAACATTTAAGTAATACTATATTAATATACTTGAGTTATTTTATAAAATTAAAAAATAAAAGTTACATATTAAAAAAATATAAAAGAATTTTAAATGAAGAGTTGATTTTATTTTTTTCAAATAAGTTGTTTAATATAAAAAAAGAAATCTTTGCATGATTTGCATTTTGTAATAGTATCAATAATATCAATGATTTTGTGTTTGACTCATAGCTATATAATATTAATAAAATTGAAAAAGAATTTATATACAATCTTTTTTGTAATTATGAAATAGTATAAAAGATTATGTGAACTTGTAACAAAAAGCACCATTGCTTGGATGGTTAGGAGCTCAATCAAATGTCTAAAAGGTCTTTGGGTTCAAACCCCCATGGAGCCATGTTTTGGAAAAAATCAGCAAAAAAAAAAAAAACTGGGCGGACCAGTCCGACCGGCCAGTTCTTACCGGTTTAAACTGGTTCGGGCCGGTCCGAAGCATTTTATTTACATATTGGTATAAAAATAAAAAATAAAATTTACATATCAAAAAACTATCTGAAAAGTTTTTCGAAATAAGAGGTGTCAAGAATATTTTATTTTATCAAATAACCAATGAAAAAGTAGAAATAAACAAAAGTTTCCGGGACTGCTAAAAAAGCAAACGTTGCAAATATTTTGGGACGGAGGGAGTATAAGTTTTTATATAGGTTTTTTCTATTTTGTAAAAGACCCACATCTTTTATACTATTTTTATACTACAAATGTAATAAAGTCTTTTATGAGTTTTCACGTACGTGTTATACACACACATGGAATATACCCATGGAATATACTGTAAGAGTACATCCCACATCGGAAATCTAAGAGTAAAATAATCGGTATATAAACTCTAGAGTTGAACTAACTAATCCATGTTAAGCTCTGATACCATGTAAAAATAACAAATAATACTTTATTTTTTGAATGAATATAAGAGGAATACAAGGTATGTATTTATAGGTGGAGGAATATATTCTAAAATCCTCCACATTAATGACTAATTATATAAGGTAATATTATATAATATTAACTCTATCTATAATAGGTAACAACCATAATTATAATATATAATATTAAATATATTAAATAATTGATATATTTAACATGCTCCCAATGTCCTGAACGGTGAAGATTGAACGCCAACTACCCTTGAGTTGTGACCAGAATTGTAATCAGAAGCTAGAGGTATATCTTCGGCTAGAGTAGACTGAATGCATCCGGCCTAGAAGAGAAGAAGAAAGAATCCGGCCTAGAAGAGAAGAAGAAAGATTGTCAGGAAAGAGATGTGAAGGCGCTGATGAGGAGAGGAGAAAAGCCGCTGCGAACAGACTCATGCTGCTACGTCGAAAGAGGGAGAAAGTTGATGCGCACTGGAGTCGTGCGCGACTGGGTTAGAGAAGAAAAACAAAGAATGAGGTACTGCCGGAGATGCATGTTGACCGAAGATCTACCCACGAAGCTGGTTGAAGTAATGATATGAGTTGTGAGAGATCGAAAAAAATAGGGATTGAAGGGTGATTGGAGGAGAACGACTTCTGACTCATGTTATTCTCGAGTGAACAGGTGCGATCTTGGCGCCAGGAGAGGCCAGTAGTTTGGTGGAGTAGGGGACGCCGGTCAGAGTTGCGGCGATTAGGAGAAGAGGATGACGCTAGAGATGCCGGTGACTATAACAGAGATTTTTTTTGTATAATGGAAGAATTTTGGTCAGAGGAAAACAGTGATCCGGCGGGCGGCGGTTAATGGCGGTGCCGCCCGCCAGAAGCGAAAGTGAAGAAATTTAGGTCACCAAGAACGGTGGCTTTGATACCATGTAAAAATAACAAATAATACTTTATTTCTTGAATGAATATAAGAGGAATACAAGGTATGTATTTATAGGTGGAGGAATATATTCTAAAATCCTCCACATTAATGACTAATTATATAAGGTAATATTATATAATATTAACTCTATCTATAATAGGTAACAACCATAATTATAATATATAATATTAAATATATTAAATAATTGATATATTTAACATATACAAAACATGGGAAAAAACGAGTAAGAGTAAGAAAATTGATTTGGGGATAGATTTAGGAATATTAATTGATAATGAAAATTAATCGAGCTTAGATTGTGTGAGTTTGATTTATATATATAATTGTGTTTTAATATTAACTTTGGATAGTTGTGGATATCGAAAAATTTAGTACTTTATTTTATATTCAATTGAGTTCTTTCGAATATATACAATCTTAAATATGTGAAAGTTAAAAGGTCGAATTGATGATCAAAGAGGCCAGAATCATGGAAGTTTTGCCAGAACAAATATTTTTGAACACCTGAAATCATAATATAGATAATTAAACAAATACACGATTAGCCAAACTATAAGGTACATGCAAATCATATGTTAATTAAACGAATCACATATGTTTCAAAATTGCATTTTTTTCACCAATCAGACGTCTTTAATCGAATATAAATAGTATCGATCTTAAATACTCCCTACGTCTGGATTTAATATTTATATTTGATTTTTTTTGTCATTTGTAAACTTTAACCTTGGTTTGCGGAGAAAATATATTGTGTTTCAATATAAATATAATGTCAAGAGTTTCTTTTGACACATAATTTTGAAATATCAAAAAGGTATGAATAATGTGTTTGTATAAATATTGATATTAATGATAAAAATATTTTTTTTAGAGACTGCGAAGAATCAAACGAGAATACCAAATCTGGACATACAAAAATGTATTTTGTATTGAATTTCCAAAAAAATGTTCTTTGATGTGATGGGTAAAAGTATGATTTGATGGATAGATTATTAGTAAAAAGGTATGATGTGATAGTTAGGGTATGAAAAAGTAAGGGGTAAAAGTGACTTTTTAATAGAAATGAGAAGTGTTTTGTGGGACGGATAAAAAAAGAAAGGAGAAAGTTTTCATGGGACGGAGAGAGTATTTTCGAAATACAAACTTTATGCATGGAAGCAAAACTTGGCTCAAACCCTAGTTTTGTTTGGCGGAGTTTCTTTGCGACTCTGGACTTGATACGCAGGGGCACCCGCTGGAAAGTTGGTCAAGGAAATCAGATCCGGGTTTGGTCTGACCCGTGGCTACTAGAGAGTGAGAATCCCTACATGCATTATGTCTTATAACCCAAATCATGATTCTTTGCAGCATGTTGGTGATCTCATAATCAATGGACAGTGGAAATTGGCCACTGGTGGAGGCGGTGTTTAATGCGCGGGACTTAGCATCAATCTGAGATATTCCTTTATTATCTTCTACGGCGGGGATGGGTAGGCTGTTCTGGATGCTCGATAAAACTGGGACTTACACGGTCAAGAGTGCGTACAGACAGTTAACATGAGACCAAACAGCAGCAACAGAGAGCAACACGGAGCAAGAGAGCTTATGGAGGAAGGTGTGGAAGGTTAAGGCTTTACCGAAGGTCCGCAATTTTGTTTGGCGTGCGCGCGATTAATAACATTCTGCCGTGTTTGAATAATCTCGTTAGGAAGAAAGTCCAAGTGAATGATATTTGTCCATTCTGCCATGGTGCAGAGGAGACGGTGGCTCACATCTTTGTGTCATGCCACTTTGCTCGTCACGTTTGGGGTGCTTCCTTCCTTGGGTGGTTTTCCCCGGTGGCATAGACTTTCCCTGTGTTGGGGATTCCTCTAAGTCCCACACCGGAGGGAGAAGAAAAAATGAACCAAAATATATAGGTTCACCCAACCCCATTAGTATGAGGCCTTTTGGGATGTGCCCAAAAACAAATTCGTGAGGGCTTGGCCCAGAGCGGACAATATCATACTAATGCGGGGTTGGGGTGAGGGCACGCGTAGTCCCAACACCCTGAATGGATGGTGGACGTGTTTAATCATCTTTTTAATGCTAATCACCAAGCTTTGATATACTGTATTCTTTGGTCGCTATGGTCAGCCCGGAATGCGAGGATTTAGAAAGGGGGGTCTGCTTCACCCCTTGGAGTCTGGAACCGCGCATTAAGAGCTTTTGAGGAGAGGGGGTTTGGTGGGCGTTTCCTTGGGTGCACCTTTAAAATAGGGTGTATTGAAACACTTCATACTTGGCCCAATAATAAATAGACATGTGGCTCTTTTTGCCATCTCATTTAAATGAAGTCAAAGTTGATGTATTTTTGCTACTTAGTTCCAAGGACTTCTTTGCAAATAAAAAAACTTTTACCCAACCCTTTCTTCCGTAGATACGTCCACAGCGCCGTTTCTCCTATCACCATCTTCAACTCTCTCCCTCAATTGCATATCTCTGGCGGAAATTTCAAGGCACATCTCCATCATCGTCAACTCTCTCTCCCTCAATCTCCCGCATACCTCTATCTCCGACGAAATTTTCTAGGCATATCTCCAGCGATTCTCTTCTTCTACAAGAAGATTAGACTTCATCATCTAAGGTTCTCACTCTATTTATGTTTTCCTAAAGCTTTCGGGATTTAAATTTTATTTATTTAATTTCACTGATTTTCTATCCAAGATTTCATTAGTATATTCTTTATTTTAATTTCAAAACTATGGTTAATTATTACGATTTTTGTTAGAGAGAAATCTGTAAATCTAGAGTTTGTTTGTTTTCTTTTGCCGTACCCTTCTTCTCTAGGGCTCAAAATCACTCTGCACTCTGTTAATACTCATCAATTTTTTTTCTTTTTTGATATATCTATATATTATGATGATGTGATGGTGAGATGTGGAATTTGAAGCTATGCCTTCATTAGGATACTATTTTAAAACTTCATTGCAAATAGAAAATTTTATGTTGCCAACAATTTGTAATTTTTATTATTTTAATTTGTGATATTAGATTTTATTTTTGTTTGGACTCAAATTTTTTTATTATTTTAATTTTAGATTGAAACTCACATTTTTTTATCATTTTAATTTTTTATGTAAGATTCTTCATTCTTTATTGAAATGCTATGTTGGGTGCAGGTGTTTGATTTACTTTTAATTATGCAATAGTGGATCCTTTTGATCAAAGGTTTGATTTACTTTTAATTATGCTATGGATTGTTACTTTTTTTTGTATTTATGGTTACCTTGAGACTTGAAATATTATGAGATTTAATTTAAATTTGCTATTCTGGTCAATTTTTTCTCTAATAGAAGGTTTGATATTGGAAGGTGCTACCATATAGGTCATAGAATGTACTATGTCAATCTTAATTTAAAGTATCTATTTATTATCCACATGATCTAATTTTATTTTTTTTTGTAACTTTGTTTATTTGGTAGAAATTGTAAATTTTATTTTTTAATTCTATTCTAATTTTCAAATAAAATGAATTAAAATTAACCTTAATTATTAAAAATAGCAAAAGTTTTTAATTTGAATGGGAGGGAGTAATAATGAAAGGGATATGAATAGTCAAGTATCCCATAAGAATAATGAGTTGGTGAGTAATTCCTTTCCAATTCCAAAGTTCATAAACCGAATTCATTGAAGGACCTGCGCCTTTTGTCCGAAAATATTCTTCCCGTTGACTTGACACGCTTATTTAGAAGTAGTAAAAGAATGCCAAATTTCTAACAATGCACATTGTTAGAATGCATCTCACATCAAAAATTACCGAATAAAATAATCGGTATATAAGCTCTTGAGTTGAACTAATTAATTGATTGGATTCAATCTTTTAATGTGGTTCAATCCAAATTTCTTTTATCAATCTAATTATCCATGCTCATCCTAAATTTTATCACACATACTATAATCTTTTAAATCTCCTTTTTAAATCAAATTAGCAATAAAAAAGTAGATTAGTAATAAAATATAAGGGTATTATTGAAAATTTTCCTTAAATAGTACTAAAAAAGGAAATGGGAAGAACAATTTCAGACGGGCTAAAAAGGAGAGTGAGAAGAACATTTCCGGACAGATGGAGTATATCATACTATCCCTCTCAAAATGATATGGAGTACTCCCTGCGTCCATAAATACAATTCCCGTTACGCGTTACGATGTTTGATTTAAGTTATATTCAAATCATTTTATATGAAAAATAGTCTAAAATTTTAAAATAAAAATTACATATTAAAACACTATATCAAAATATCTACAAAACTAGATCGATATGATTATATTATTTTATCAAATGGGTGACGAAAATAGACCATTAAAGTGAATAAAATTTGACTATGTGAATAATGAACGAGAAATTTATTTATGTACGGAGGGAGTATATCATAAGAAGCATTATTTGTTTTATTTATAACATTTTTTTCTCCTTTTAGGGCATGTTCTTTAGGACTGTATAAAAAGATCTGGTTGTTGGAAGAAACTGGAAAAAACTGGAAGGAACTAGAAGAAATTGGAAAAAACTGAAAGAAACTGGAAGAACTGGAAAGAACTCGAAGGAACTGGAACAAACTGGAAGGAACTGGAAAAAATTGGAAGGAACTCAAAGAAACTAGAAAAATTGGAAAGAACTGAAAAAAAACTGAAAAACCTAAAAAAAACTTTAAAAATATTTATTTTAAATTCTTATTGTTATAAATTATTATTATTATTATTATTATCATCATCATCATCATCATCATCATCATTATCATAATGATCATCTTCATCACGTTATCTTAGTGAATGTTTTTTTAAGATATATATAAAATATTGTTATTTTTTAAATACAAAAAACTACTTTTACAAAAAATAATTATAATATAAAGTTAGCTTAAATATAAAAATATTAAATTTTAAAAAGGTTGTGTAGTTATATTGCACCTCAATTTATTTATGCAGTATTTATTATAAATAATATATTTATAATTGTAATTTATATATTACGGAGTAAAACATTTTGTTTTAAATATCATACATGTCACATAATCAAACCTATTGATTCTTTCATGATTGACATTTTAAGAGTTCAAGCCCTAAAGAACAGGCTCTTAATGTATTATTTTTAGCAACGATACATTAAGAAATTACATACCTTTATAGACTTTTTCCTATAAGGCCCCGTTCCGTTAAACTTAATTTTTCTACATTTTTCTTATTCTCATTAAAATAAAATTAGATCAGACCCGATTAGATCCACTCGGATCAGACTCGATCAAATTAGATCCAATCAGATCATATCAGATTAGAACTAAAAAAAATCAGATCAGATCAGAAAAAATAAATTGAACGGAATGGAGCCTAAGTTATTAACTTGAACTAATCATATAAATTGATTTTAAAATATATAAACCAATGTAAATATTATTTAAAATACTACTGAACCAAAACAACATTGCAAAGGATTGGGGTTATTTTCATATATCAAGTTTTTATGACATTTAATTATTTAAAATTGTATTTAATTTGTAATCAAAGTGTTACATAGTTTCGCCAAAAAAGTCTAACTACTATATATTCTTTTTGAGACGAAGAGAGTATATAGATTAAAAATTTTAATATATTTTATTCAATGATTGTATTCATTTCGAGTTTATATGTTACACTATTTTAAAATATATTTTTAAAATATGTTTCATACATAATTAGTTATATGTCTAAAAAATTATGAAAAAAAAGAAAGCCTGATGTTGTTTTCAATAAAGTATTCATCATTTTCTCTTTTATTACATCTCAAAATAAAGATTTAATTTATATAATTTTTAATACATGTTCATGAATATTAAAACTAAAACTTTTCTTTCAAAAGAGATATTTTATAGTAGAAAACATTTATCAAACACATCATATATCATTAGATAATTTAAAATAAACAATATTTTATTTTTTAGATGTCAAAATTTAAAAATATGCGAGTCCGTGAATAATTTGTCTAATTCGAATTTTTGGAGTCAGTGAATAAAATTTAGTTTTCATTAAACAAAATTTATAATGTATATTAGTATAAAAATAATTTTATTAAATTTATCTCGTTGAAAATGTTTAAAAATTAATTTCACAAATATAAGTGTACAATACTGAGAGCCTGTTTTTAGGGCTTGAATTCTTAACTTTCAATTTCTTCCAGTTCTTTCTAGTTTTTTCCAGTTTCTTCAAGTTCCTTTCAGTTACTTTCAGTTACTTCCAGTTGCTTCTAATTTCTTTCAGTTTTTTTCTAGTTTTTTCCTGTTTTTTTCCTGTTACTTCCAATATCTAGCTCTTTTTTCCAGTTTTAAAGAACATGCCTTTAGTTGGAGTAATTCATAATTAAAGTTCAACCATTTTACTCTAAAATTAAACTAGACAAATACTCCATCCGTTCCGAAATATTTAAAATATTTGCTTTTTCAGCAGTCGCGAGAATTTTTGTTTATTTCTACGTTTTCATTGATTATTTGATAAAATAAAATATTTTTGACATCTCTTATTTTGAAGAATTTTTTCATGTAATTTTTTGATATGTAAATTTTATTTTTTATTTCTATACTAATATGTAAATAAAATGAATTGAAAAAATAGATATTTACTTAGAGATGAAGAGAGTAAGAAATACCACCGTCACAATTGAGAAGCCATCCCATTAATTAAGAAAAATGAAGAGACAAGTTGAGTTTTTTTCCTAGGGAATATGCGACACATAAGTAGGCAACTAGTATTACTATATACTTGCAAAAATAACAAAAAATTGCTGCTAGGTACCCCCAATTATGTGATAAGAACTCGCAGGTCCCATTATTTTTCAAAATATACTCCGGGGTACCTTAAAATATTCAAAAAGTGACTCCCAGGTGACATTCCGTCAATGTGTCCGTCAATGTTTCCTTTTCCGTTATCATGTTCTCCTTCTTCATTTCTTCTTGTTCTCCTTCTTGTTTCGATCTCCTCCTCCTTTTTTTTTCTTCTTCTCTTTTTCTTCTTTTTTTGTTCTTTGTTCTTCTTCTTCTACGCCTTCCCATCCAATCAGTCTCCCATCCCTCCCCTTTTTTCTTCTTCTTTTTCTTCTATTACTATATTATTATTATTTATTTTATTATTTGTTATTGTTATAATCTTTATTTATTATTATTATTATTTTATTTAATTAGTAGTTTGACTAATCTAACTTTTTTTTAGTAGTTTTACTACTCTAAAGCTTTAATTGAAAATTACTTTTAGTAATATATTTATGTATAGTTTATAAAATTAAAATTATTTATTCACGTGGTTATAAATTATACGTCGTAATTCATAATAATATAAAATTTAGAACTATTTTTTATTGTTTCATACGTAGTATTATCTTTAAAAAAACCCAGAGACACTTATTCATATTATTCTTTTCTCAAGTCCTCTCGTTTTCTCGATTTTCCATGACACCACTACCCATGGAGACTACTGATGACTAATGCGTGGCTAATGCGAAAGACAACATCGGATGGAAAAAAAATAGAGTAGTAAAACTACTTATAATTTGTTTAACAATAATATAATAATAAGTGTTATTTTAAATAATAAAATCTATTTTTCTAAATAATAATGATTATGGTTTTTGAAAAATAAAGTAATAAAACTACCAATTAATTTTTAATAATAATTAAGAAAATCATAGGAAATAAATAATACTATCTCTCTCCCAAAGTATCTATCAGGTTTTGACTTTTTTAGTTAATCATTTTTAATCTTTGACCTATAATTAAATAAAATATATATTGTATATTAATTCGATAAAATAATATTTTGAAAATATTTTATATAATAAATTTAATAAAACTATTTTTCTATCAATATCTATCTAATATCATTTTTATTTAGTTTAGAGTTAAAATTTATCAATTTTGAATGAAAAGTACTCCCTCCGTTCCAAAAAGATCTACAACATGTTTCAAAAAAAATTGCGTCCCACAATCTCCTTATCATTTCTATTAAAAAACCAATTTTACCACTTATTTTTTTAAATCCTACCTACCACATCATATTTTTTTCTAATAATATACACATCACATCTTACTTTTACACATCACATTAAGGGTATTTTTGAAAATTCAACACAAAATTATCCCTCCCTTAATTTCAACTTTAGTCAAAACGTGCAAATCTTTTTGGGACGAATGGAGTAATTAATATGAAGTAATAATAATAAGTACTAATTTTTTTATAAAAATTACAGAAGTAAAATTACTTATTAATTGCATTAAATAAATAATAGCACTAATAATAAGTGTTTTGTATAATACGTTTTATTTTTCTAAATAACAATTACTGATTTTTGTAGAAAAGAGTAGTAAAAGTAATAATTAATTTTAAATAATAATAGTAATAATAATAAATAAAAAATTAATAATAATAGAATAAGAAAATCATAATTGATACGAAGTAATTATAATAATTAATAACAAATAATAATAATTATAATGGAAGAAGAAGAAAAAAGAATCCAAAACAAAAAGTAAAAGAAGAAAAAAGAGGGGGTGGGGTGGAGGATCACTTCGGAAGGCAAAGGAGGAGGAGGAAAAGAGGAGGAAGAGGAAGAAGAAGCAGAAAGAAAAAGAAAAAGAAGAAGAAGGAGAAGACGAAGGAGAAGGAGAAGAAGATAGAAAATGAAGAAAGATAACGGAGAAGGGCATTAATAGGGAAATTAACGGATTGTCACCTCGGAGTCATTTTTCTAAAATTTTAAGGTACCTCAGAGTATATTTTAAAAAATAATGGGACCTGCGAGTTTTTATCACAGAACTAGGGGTACCCAGTAGCAATTTTTTGCAAAAATAACTATAATGATTTATCTTCTGCATATATAAAGCTGGACACAATTGCAAAATATAAAAACTTGAAATCTTTTTTATAATCACAGAATGACCAAATAAGAAGAGGAAGAAGAAAGAACCCAAATTCGTTTCTTTTCTGCAGGCAGGGATTTGGAATAAATATCCTCCATCATCATGAAAAATCTTAGAGGCAGATTTCTTTCCTCCATATGGATTCACAAATACAAATAATCTTTTCGGCCGACCTGATTATTACACACATCTCAATTTTAATAAAGAAACATGGCTAAGAATCAAAGAAGGTAAGCAACAATAAATACCTGTGATTTTCAAAAGTGAACAAACTGTGTGCTGCCATCAAATAGGATTTTCAAAATAATAATAATAATAATAATAATAATAATAATAATAATAATAATAATAATAATAATAGTAATAATAAAGCCTGAGATATTACTGGAAATCGAAAATGAATGTTTTCCGGAGAAGAGGCGACTGGTAGCCACAGCAGCAGATTCCAGCTCCTCTTTCCACAATAGCCCTGATTTTGATCTGTGATCCTTCAACGGAGAAGCCAAGGACCTCCTTCTTTATAAGTATGATTGAATTGTTCTTGAGGGACAAAGCAGTTCTTCATTAACCTCTACTCCTGCACAACACAACTCCCTCTAACCCTAAATCCGGAGAACTCGCAAATCGCCCACGAGGTGCCGCAGGATTCCTCAAACAAAAAACGTAGCAATTAACCATAGTTTTGAAACTAGAATACAGAATCTACAAATTAAATATCGGATAGAAAAACAGTGAAAGAAATAAAATTTAAATACTGAAAATTTTAGAAAAATAAATAGAGTGAGAACCTTATATGATGAAGCCCATCTTGTAGAAGAAAGAATCTTTGAGAATTACCTTGAAATTTCCGCCAGAGAGCAGGGCAGCCGAAGATAGAGATATGCGATTGAGAGAGAGAGTTGACGAAGATGATAGGAGAAACGGCGTAGAGACTGATTGACGGAAGAAAAGGTTGAGAAAAGTTTTTTATTTGCAAAGAAGTCCTTGGGACTAAGTAGCAAAGATAAATCAACTTTGACTTCATTTAAAAGAGTTGGCAAAAAGAGCCACATGTCTATTTATTATTGGGCCAAGTAGAGAGTGTTTCAAAACACTCTATTTTAAAAGTGCACTGAAGGAAACGCCGGTTTGGTGCTGCACTTTCTTTTGAGTCTAGGGAGCCGAGGGTATGGGAGAAACCGCCCTCAACTTTCATCAAAGTTAATGTTGACGCATCGGTGGGGCTCATGGTGAATCATGTGGGCTACGGCTTTATTGCTCGGGACCACGATGGATGCTTCATTGCGGCAAAAAATATCAAGTGTAGAGGAAGTTTTGGACCAAGGGAAGCGGAGGCCATTGCGGTGAAAGAGGCTCTTAGTTGGATTAAAGCTAAAGGTTGGACACGTGTTATAATCGAGTCAGACTGCAAGGAGGTCATCGATCAGCTAAGTTCACCTGTTACCCATTATTCTTACTTCGACTCTATTATCGATGATTGTAAAAGTCTCCATATCATGTGTGGAGGAGACGTTAGATTTCATTTTTCTCATCGCTCGTCTAATGAGGCAGCACATATTTTGGCGCGTGCTACTCATTCCATGTCCAGTGTAGGGGAGTGGATCGGTTCACCCCCGGATTTTATTGTAAACTTCCTTTAATTTATTGAAGTTTTCCGTCAAAAAAAAATTTGTAGAAACAAATACGGGTTCGGATTTTATTTATCCATTTATAGTAGTCATATTCACATCTTTCAACACTCCGTTCTTTAATGTTAGGAGAAAAAATTGGATGTTGAAAGAAATTGGAAGAAGTTCGAAGAAACTAGAAGAAATAGTAAGAAGTCGGAAGAAGTTGAAAAAAACTAGAATGAATTGGAAAAATTTGAATGAGTTGGAAAAAAATGAAAAGTTGGAAAAAACCGGAAGAAGTTAAAAAAAACTAGGAGTTGAAAGAAACCGAAAAAAGTTAGAAAAATTTTGAAAAAGTATTTAAAAAAATTAAAAATGTTTAAATAATTATTTTATTTTATTAATTTCATCTTTTATTTAAAAAAGGTATACTCTACTTTTAAAAAATTTAACCTCTTCTTATTTCCTTTTATCATATTATATTTTATCTCAAACTGTATTTATAATTTTTTTATGACTTACACTCTTTTTTTACTTTTTAAAATCAATATCAATCATATAATGTTTCATTTTACATCCATATATTAATACTTCATGTAACAAAAACAAGAAGACAAATGAAGTACGAGTAATACTTTTTACTAATCTTAGTTGAAAGAAAAATTGGATTTAACTAATATAACGACGTCTTGACGAAAAAATAATTTTACACCACACTTTATATGTCAAAATAGATACAAAAAGATGTGAGACTAAGAGCACTGGTAATACCAGCAACGCCCCACGGTGTGAGGGGGCTTTTAACGCCCCGGCAGCGTTAAACACCGCCCCCCTCTGGGCGTGATCGGGCGTGATCGCCCCTGCGTCAAAGGAATGACGCGGCGTCATTCCACTCCCCTCCCCCTCCCAACGGCTTTATAGCCGTTGCACCCCTTTTCAAAAAAAAAATTCTTATAAATTCAAACCCCCCTCTCAATCTCTCACATCTTCTCCATCTTCAAATTTTTTTCTTATAAATTCACACCTCTCTCTCACAAATCTCTCTTTATTACTATATATTTCTTCAAAAATATTTATTATTTATTATAAATATTTATAAAATATAATTTAAAAATGGGTTCATCTTCCGACGATGAAAGAAGAGCTTTATTTTTTCGTTGTTTCGCGACGAATTGTATTCAATGGTGGGAAGATGGCCAAGAAGAAGCCGAATCCTCCCGACGACGGACCCGACGCCAACGTCTAAACCGGGATCGAGCGGCCGCCCACGATTCACTTCTGCGATTTGTCAATACAACCCGGACGAGGAGGTGCCTATGTACGAAGAAATCACCGAAGAAAAGAAACGACGCAACCGCCAAGAAATTTGAAGCCGAGAGATTCACAATGCACTAACGACGGATTTGATCGAGTATATCTTTAGTCGTTCGAATAATTAGTGATTTCTTTGTACTATTGTTTTTTTATGTAATTTTTTTTAATGAATGCAAATTTTTTTTAATGTTTTTTTATGAATGTAAGTTTTTTTATAAAGAATTTAATTTTTTTATGCACTAGTGTCATTGCGATTAATTAAAATAATAAATTAATTTAAATTTATTAATTTAAATTTAGAAGATGTATATTTAAAAATGTAAAAAATGAAGGTTTGAAGCCCAATTTTGAAGCCCCGGGGCTTCAAACCCATTTCCAGTGAATTTTGGGTGTAAGTTAAAGCTGACGTGGCAGAGAGAGAAAGTTTGAAACCCCGGGGCTTCAAAGGTATTACCAGTGCTCTAACAATGTTAATTTTGCAGTAGAAATTACTGATTTGACATGATTTACATACTTTTGCACAAAATGAATTATCAAAATACTCCCTCCGTCTCATTTGAATCTTTCCGGTCCGCATTACGATGTTTGACCAATCTTATTTTTAATTCAATTTATCTCATTATAGGTTTAAAATTAAAAAATAAAATATATATATTCAAAAACTCCGTCAAATGGTATACTGATATACAAAACTAGATGTTACTCCATCCCTTTCTTAAAACACTTTCTCTTTCGTTTTTTGATTTTACTAAAATACTTGCGATTTCAATTAAAAAACACTTTTTCCCAACTGTTTCTTACCCTACTTATTATAACATACTTCTTCACTAATAATCTACCATTAGATTTTACTTTTACACATCACATCAAAAACAAAATTGAAAAGTCAACGACAAATATACATTCTTTATTTCTCTTAAAAATAAGAATAGGAACCATTTTATGAAACAGAGAGAGTACATTATTATATTATTTTATCAAGTGAATAATGAAAAAAATAAAATAAACAAAATTTGATCATGCTTACAAACATTGGAAGAGATCGAGTATTGATTAGTCAACTTCTAATGGGTTAGAAAAGGAAAAAAAAGGATTAAATAAATCAGCTCGTACTAGAATTCGGTAAAGAAAATTAATTAGTAGTACCAAAAATGGAGTAATTAAATTGGCTCTAAATAGTTAATACACGCGTGAGTATAAAACGAGGGCCAAGAAGAAAGAGAGAGAGAGAGAGTAAGAGACCGTTCCTTTTCTCAAGCTTTAATGGCGTGAGACCGTACCTGGGGGAGAGCCTGCGAGTGTATATGTATATGTATACATACATATATATATATATATATACGGAGGATGTATATATATAAACATATATATATATGTACGCACACCGTATGACCGTATTCCGTATGAAATTCATTCATTCATTCATTCATCTTTGCATGCTTCACCAACTCCTGATAAAGAAAACCCAGAACCCAAAACCAGCTGAAACAAACAAACCAATACAAAACTCGGACTAAATCGGTCACACCACACCCGCATTTCGCTCCGCCATTGTCGCTCTCGTCGTCCCGGGCTAGCTTTGGATGATCCGAAACCGAGACCGGCCAGTCGGAATACGAACCGATGATTGATTGGTTCCCGTCGGGGTATTAATTAATTAATCAATTTCCCTCACTACTCGGATCAGCTGTGTTGTGTATGTTGACACTACTGATGATTTGATTCGATTTGATTTTGTGTTGTTGTGTGTTTGTGGAATACATAGAATTGTTATTTTATTCGTAATCCGTCAGTGATTTGATTTGATTTGGTTTGATCTCTGACTATGTTTGAGCGAGTGGAAACGAAGGGTGGTGATGATGATGAGCTGGAGATGTTGCTGGATGAGATCCCTCACGCGACATGCTTCAACCATCATCATCATCATCCTCATAGCATCCGTGGCGTCGGCTGTTATGAGTATGATCAAGACCTCGGGTCGAATGCGAGGAACAAAATGCAGGGCGGGAATTTTTGGTATGATCATCACGCGTGTGTCTCCCCTGTCAGTGGATTTTCCTTGAAATCTGATGGATCCTCTTCCAGCTTCGTATCCGGCGGGTCTCCCACGCCATCCCCATTTGAAGAAGTCGTGAACTCCCAATTTCATTGCGGGATCTCTGGGGGTGTGAATAGGTTGTGGATTGATCCCGATTCTTATCACGCCAATTCAAACAAGAGGTCGAGTGATGAGGAACGTTTCTTCGAACTGAATCGTCTGTCAAGGAGTTTCAGTGGAATGTATATTAATGAGGAGGAGCAACAGAATCGTTCGAATGGGAAATCTTCGCGGGTGATTTCTGACAAGTACTGGTCTTCTGGTGTGGGAGGCTTTGGATCACCTCTCATTCCAGTGACAAGAAATGATCATCTGGGTGTTATTGGCCAGGTGGCTTCTCCAGTGGTGATTAATAACCAGGCCATTAGTACCACGGATTCGCAGTTTCATCGGATGAAAGTGGCAGCTCATCTCCATCAGATGGGGGTACCGTTTGTAGACCCGCCGAGCAATGCTGTTACAAGCAATCGCTATCCACGTGTAAATGGAAGGTATGCTACTCAAGATTCGTCCAACAATGTCCCTAAGGTGGCGAACATAAAGCCACACGTTGATTCGGAAAATATAAGAAGGTACAAGGGACGACATTCATGTGGGGTCAAAATACCTATGATGCGGAACATTGAGGCGTTTGATCGGGAGGATGGCTTGATGAAATATGGGAATGGAAATGGACACCGTCGTTCGGTTAGGGCTCAAGAAAGGAGATCGTCGCAGATAGAGAGTGGCGTGGACGAGAGGGTGCACCATTTCCCTTTCTCCCTCCCACTAAAGCTTTGCTCATTGGGAGAAGCTAAAGAGTATATTTATGAGATTGCAAAGGACCAACATGGTTGCCGGTTCTTGCAAAGAATGTTTGATGAGGGAAGTCGTCAAGATGTGAAGACAATATTCAACGAGATAATCGACCACGCTGTGGAGCTTATGATGAACCCTTTTGGGAATTACCTCATGCAAAAGCTCTTGGAGGTTTGCAATGAAGAGCAAAGGATGGAAATAATTCTCAGGGTGACACAAGAGCCTGGACAGATTGTCAGAATATCTTTGAACACTCATGGGTACTACACAATGCAGTTCATTAAATGAGATTTCTTCCCCTTTCATGTTGATTGGTGACTAACATTAGTTTTAATTTACTCTTCTTTTTTTGGGGGGTTTCAGGACCAGAGTAGTTCAAAAGTTGATTGAGACATTGAAAACCCGGCAACAGATTTCGATGGTCATTTCCTCACTTGAACCAGGATTTCTTGCCCTGATTAAGGACCTGAATGGTAACCATGTTATTCAGAGATGTTTGCAGTATCTTACCATTGGAGACACTGAGGTAATCACATCAGAACGGCTCTTTCAGTCAGTAAAAGTGTACAATGACAAATCTATTAACTCCCGATTCGTGTTTCTGGCTAATGCATTCCATGCTACTCTGTGTAGTTCATATTCAATGCAGCTGCAAGGTACTGCATGGACATTGCAACACACCAACATGGCTGTTGTGTTCTTCAAAGATGCATTGCCCACGCGGTTGGAGAACATCGTGAAAGATTGATCGCAGAAATTTCTGCCAATGGACTTCTTCTAGCTCAAGATGCCTTTGGGTAAATGAAAACACACAATGGTTTTTTTGACACCGGTTTTGGGTGTCATGTTATGACTCTGGGCCATGGTACTCCATTGGGTCCCGGGTGGTTCCGACCCCCTTAGTTTCGCGGATATATGCAAAACTATGGGGGCCAACAAAGCACTCCGTAATATTATTTTTGTTCTCATTAGTCCTCATTTTCTTGCTTAAGTAAACTTTTTTATTTTTTTTTTTTGAAATTTTCCTGCTTGAGGGCAGAAACTATGTGGTTCAGTTCATTTTGGAGCTAAAGATACCATCTGCAACATCCAAGTTAATATCTCACTTTGAGGGCAACTTTGTACATCTCTCCACACAGAAGTTCAGCAGCCATGTGGTTGAGAAATGCCTCATTGTATGTGACTACAAGGTCCAATCAAAGATCATCCACGAACTCGTCTCCGCGCCACATTTTGAGCACCTTCTTCAGGACCCGCACGCGAACTATGTTGTTCAAACAGCTCTCCGAATTTCCGAGGTACAACTAACGACATTACCATTGCATCCTTAACACTTCACATGATTATTTCTTTCATAGTTCAACATTGTCACACTTGAATCAGGGCTGTCTACATAGTTTACTAGTCGAGGCGATCGATTCCCACAAAGCAGTCTCGCGAAACAGCCCATATTCAAAGAGGATTTTCTCAAACAAAATTTGGAAGAAGTGATGTGTAAATGGTAAAGAGAGAGATTTGAAGGTGTTCATCTCATGATGTGTTCTAATCACATGCCAATAACTGATCTGCAATTTTGTTTTTACCTCTCCATTACAATTTTTTCCCACTTGGATTTATTCATTTTTCACCCCCTAGAGTTGCCTAATGAAAGGCAAGAAATGTTGTTTCATGTTTGTTAAAAAAAAATGTAATGTGCAATGTATTCATGTTTTGTTGTTATGAAGTACTCCCTCCCTTCGGAAATAAAATCATTTATTTGGTACAACTTTTTGATGTAGTTTTAAATTCTTTGTATTGACCGAATGTAATTTTTAATTTCAAATTCTACATCAAATTTTAAATATATTAAATTGAAATTAATTTCAAACAAACACCAGATATTACAAGTGGGTGATTGGACTGTTTATACTAATGCTACAATTATTAAACAGACAATTGTCAAGGACTACAATCGACTTCTCCCTTTTCCGTGTTCTTCCTTCCATTATGCTTCTTGTCAATACTTTTTGAGTTTTTGTTACTCCCTCCCTCATAAAATGTAATCAACATTTTGAACGAGCGAAATATCATTTCTTCTAAAATTACTTTATTTATGAATTGATAGAGAAATAAAAAATAAAAATTACATCGTTCAAAAAAAGATCAAAAGTTTTATAAAACAAGATGCAACAAAAATATTTTATTAAATAGTAACCAAAACGAGTCAACAAACAAAAGTTATTGAGAGAACGAAATAGTAATTGTTGGTTACATTTTGGGACGGATGGAGTATTATATTTTATCATTATATGTTATTGTAAGTCGTGTTTGGGTATAACATCAATACTTATAAAAAATAAAGTTGCGGAGTACTCCGTATAAAAATTTAAGGTGATAAAGAAAAGTAAACAACTAGAAATAACAATAAAAATAAATAAAAGTATACAAATTAATAATGTGAAGCAACACACTTCCATATCAAAATAATCGTCCCAAAATAATCGTCTCAATTACTATTCTTGATTTCCTATAATTTTTGTTTGTTTGTTGATTGTTTGGTAAAATAAAATATTTGTATCACATTTTTTTAAACTTTTGAGGTAGTTCTGAAATATGTAACTTATATAGAATATTTTTTATGCATTTGTATATCAATATGTAACACAAATGAAAATTTGCACGTTCCTCGAAGTAAAAAGTACTCACTCCGTCCCAATTTTTAATGTCTGTTTCAGTTTACGATGTTTGACTGACATTATTTTCAAATCATTTTATATGACAAATGGTATAGAGTTAGAGAATAAAAATTACATATTGAAATACTACATCCAAAGATCTACAAAACTAGTAGTGATAATAATACTTTATTTTATCAAATTGCTAACGAAAATAGAGAAAGAAAGTGAATAAAATTTGACTCTGTAAATAGTGAACATACACTATAATTTGGGACGGAGGAAGTAATTCTTAATTCTTTAAAAAAATTACGATGAAAAGATGAGGTTAAAGAGAAAACTGAAACACTCTCTCTTTAAAATTCACATTTGCCAAAACAATTTTATAACAAATTATTTTTTGTCATCTCAAAAACCCAAGAACCCAAGAGTGACATGCAATCATTTTTTCTTAAAAAACAATCCTTAAAAACTTTGTACCAAAAACTTCAAAAACAATTCTTTAAGACTTTTGTACTAAAAGCAAAATAAAAAGAATACAAAATAAAAGTCCTCCATGACTTAGTGTTTGGCACCCCTAAATCCAAACACACCTTGAAGGCCATGTCCCATGTGTCTTGAGGTGAGGACACGATTTGTAGGGACAAACTCTCACTACTTTTTTTCCCTTTCTTTACAACTAAAAAAGAAAAGAAAAAACGTCCCGTTTGGCATTAACGTAAGAGATTAACGTTATCGATTTGAAAAAACTATCTAACGGTAGCTTTTAACGTTAACTTTTTTCAAAATTAATCTACATCTCAAATTTTATCCAAAATGTTAATACTAGTGGAAACAACACTCCTCCCAAAAAAGCCTTATTTGGGAAAATTATTTTTAATTATTGTTAGCATTTTAAATAAAATATTAAGATTAATTCAGAAAAAGGCTAATATACTTTACTTTTCAACAAAGCTCTCAAACAAAAGAGGAAAGAAAGCGCTGTCCAATTCAACTTCAACTCCATAGCATTCACACTCATCATCCCTTCTTCGACTTCGTCTTTATTATCCTTTCGCCATCTCCATTAACGTGCGCTACTGTTCCCTTTTCCCCGGCCCCAGAGGATTCCGCTGGTGTCCGGATCAAGATCGTCGTCCATGGCGGAAAGCGGATCGGATCCTCCAGGTTTCCGATTAGGTAATTTTGCGTTTCTCTTCTTCGAGCGGTGGATTTTCAGTGTTGGGAGAGCTTCTGATTCGAGTCTGTTCCTTCGTGTTTCGTCTGCGTAACTAACTGTATGGCGGAGTGAATCTGGCTGGATGTGATGATGGAGGGTTGTGTTTTTTTCGTGTTGTCTAAAGCGTTTCTCTGAGCTCTATTGCTTCGCCAATGGATTTTGGGTTGAGGTTTCGAAGAACAGATCACATTTCTAGTAAAAAACCTGCACTAGGGTATTGGTAAATGACCATTTTAGGGTTTCGGAAAAACAAATCACTATTTTGGCTTAAGATAAGAACCCACTTGTCAAATGGCTTTGCTAGCTTGTCGTAGTTTTTATTTTTGTGTAAAATAAATTCAAGTTCAGGCTCAAGGAAGAAACTAGCACTACTCCTCAAGTAATGAGCACCTAAATCCTCCACTCAACTTACGCCTATTAAAGGAAAAGATATTGCTCGTTTATGTTTGCTGCACTTGCACAGGCTCTAGGTTGCTATGGTTTTATGAGTTATTAAAGACAATACCACTTATTTACTAGCTTTCAATGTTTTGCATTGATTTCCGCTGGTTTTTTGCAGTATGGCATTCATCAAGTCTGATTTGTTATTTTTAACCTATTGGACAAAGTGGGATACATGTTTGTGATTGAATTCTTCCGTAATTTTTCAATCGTATTTTGGTTTTCGAGATTGCGAGGAGTCAAATTAATATTGACTAGATAAAATATCGGAATATGATGAAAAAAACATTTCCTTTAAAGTTTAACAAGCCATTTAAAACATGCAAGTCTTGACAATTTGTCCTCAACCTTTCACTTGGTCCTCCTGAGGTAGTCCTATTTTACTTTTTGAGGATATTAAATGTGAAATGAAGATTGAGTTGCAGTTATTCAAATGACAGATTCATCAATGATAGGTAATGTGAACTCATTTCCTACGTGTTCTTCCTACTAGAAAAGCTAATCTTCAGAAAAAAATTAAATTAATGCTAGATCAATTACAGTAATGCTTATTATTCACGCACTAAATGATTTATAAAGGTGAAATTGTTTCCTTATCAAATGACAATACATTTTATAGCACACAACTCACTAGACTTATGATACTTTTCGGATTATGCTTGAAGAAACGGAGCACATTTTTAGTTTTTTAAGATCCCTGCTTTATAGTTTTATTGCTTTCCCATGCCTGATATGAACCAAATCAAGTTGTGAAACATTAAGAACCTGCTTTTACATCTTAAGATGTGATCCTGAGATTTTTTTTGCCTTGGTAGCTTCTATTTGATAGTTTCCCCTTTTGAATGCTTCTCTGGCGCTACAATTTGAATGTGTGTGAGCTTTGGTAGAATAATTGTGGCCTTTGAGGCTATGAACATAGTAGGCTTCATGATTAGATTAAACAAAGATAACATGAATGCCATCATGTTCCTCAATGTCAATATGTTCACCATGCTTCACAGAGCACACATGCTTTAATTCCTCGTTAATTGGCCTAAATATTTTATTGCTTGGTTTAGTAATGTAAATCTGTATAATTTTAAAATGATGCTCAATGTGCAGATATCAAACAAATATTACTAGAAGCACATCATAGGTGGCTGAGGCCTGCTGAAATTTGTGAAATTTTGCGGAACTACCGAAAATTTCACATTACACCAGAACCACTTTATAAGCCAGTCAGTATGTCTTCATTTCACTCCACTTATTTTATTCTCTGATACACATCTTCTTGTGTATTTTAAGGCACTTCATTTCATCCTGGTTACAATATGAATGTCTACAAGTGTGGGCATCTTCCTTCCCCATGTTTATTTGAGTGACATATTGCTTTGTCTCTATGTATCTTATTTCAGGTGGTTCTGTTTTTCTATTTGATCGGAAAGTACTTAGATATTTTCGGAAAGATGGTCATAATTGGCGGAAGAAAAAGGATGGAAAGACTGTGAAGGAAGCTCATGAGAAGCTGAAGGCAAGAATTGTTACCAGGATTGTTTTTTTCCTTTGGCATTTCCTTTGAAGGCTTTCTCAAAAAAGGATTATGTTCTCCAAGGACTACTTAATTTTGTTGAAATTTAATTTTTATGGCACCACAGTATTTCCTATCGAAGTAGTGTCTGAGAAAACTATTCCACAGTCTCCGTGTTAAATGTTAGCATTATATCTGTTCAGGTTGGAAGTATTGACATGCTACACTGCTATTATGCACATGGTGAAGAAAATGAAAGTTTTCAACGGCGTAGCTATTGGATGCTTGAACAGTGAGTACGGGCCACATAGATGTGTCAATTCTTTTCTCTCTTGAAATTCTCATGTCCTTTTGTTTAGGATTGAATTGATTAGAATTTAGAAAGTTAAGTTCAGAATGATTTGAACTGGATTTGCCCTGTATTGCACACTTGCACCGATTACATTGCAAACAAAGAACAATTTTCCTTAGCTTAAGATCTTTGCTGTTTTTTTCATAATGCTTCAGCAATTGAAATGTAGTTCACAGGAGTTCATTATAAGTTTTTATGCTGCAGGGATCTCATGCACATGGTTTTTGTGCACTACTTGGAGGTTAAGGTGAGATTCCATCATTTCTTAGATTGCATCTGTTTTCAACCCCCTTTGCTGGCTATTTAATTTAGTCCCCCCCCACCACCGGCCCACCCCCACACAATTGTTTATCCTTAATTTATTAAAATTTGTTTGTTTGTTTCCAGGGTAGTAAGGCAGTGAGAAGTATTAAGCCAACTGAATCAAATTCTGTGGACGAAAGCTCATTGTCCGTCAGTTCTGCTGGAAATTGCTCGAAATTAAGTACTACATCTGCTGATTCGCCTAGTCCAACAAGTACTCTTTCAACAGCATATGAAGATGTTGAATCTGGTATATGTTAATGTTATTTGCTATTATGTAAATGGAATACATTAGGTTCCTTATAGTTATGTACACATTACTTTGATGAATTAAGTTGAATATCATGCCTTGTACTGATGCTGGTGAAGCTTATTATTAATTCTTTTATTCCCTTTTGCATGTGCTATCATTTCCCGAGATAGCCGCTCTATCAGGCAATTATTCAGTGGAAAATTTGCATGCAGTTCTGCCTCAGTATTCTGGTACTTTCACCAATCTTTGTATCCATGTTAAAGTGCTGTAGTGTGTGTGTGAGTGTGTGTTTGTACTTATATACACCTATCATCTTAAACACTTTATTTGCTATAGTAAAGGTGCGTGTTTTTTTCCTGCAGCAGAGTCTCAACAAGTAGCTGATTTTTCTTCTTGGGAAGATTTTTTAGAGAGCTGTACAAAGGGTACTAAAACTACATATTCTGCTGTCAAATGCATATATAGCATTCAGATTACATGTATGACCAGTGAAATTAACACTTGAGTGAATGTCTTGCAGGTGATATTTCTTTCAATGAGGATCCCAACATTCCTACTTCGGCCCAGACAAATTTGCATGTACTCGGCTTTGATCTATCTTGACCTCATTCTTACTACGCTATCGATTACCTATATACTCCCTCCGTCCCAAAATAAAATTCGGTGCTTGACTTCACGGAGTTTAAGAGAAGTGTTAAAAAGTAAAAGGTGGTGGTCTGTCACATATTTCACTCCTAAATAGGAAAACAAAGAAGTGTGAAGTTTATTTTTGGACGGAAGGAGTATTTTTATATTTATGCGACTTAGCTGATAGAGGGTGCAGAGGCACCAAAAATTGCAGAATTCTTTTTGGTCAGAGAAAATAAAGATAATACAAAGAGTATCAATGGAAGTTCTCTAAGAGAGCTGAAGGACCTCTCTAGCAGGATGCTATCACCCCTCAGCAAAGCTGACTTTTTCTTGAAATTCAGAACTAATGCCTCCTACTTGGGTCCTTCTTTCTAGTGTAGTACCAATGTACCATTGTACTTTCTCCGTTTTTAAATAATTGTAACATCAAGATTCTCATGTTTGCCAATACACAAATTAAATCATTGATATATTCAATTGTGTTTTAGTAAAAAAATATAGAAGGTTAATATTAAGAAAGTTTACATCGAGGCAAAATCTAACAAGATCCCTCATGACTAATTGTTTCCTCATGTATATATCACAATTCACAAAAGATAATCAAATGAGTTTATGAATAGTGTAGCATAAAATACTAGATATAAGAATATAAAATAAGAAAAATAATACTCCTTAATTTTTTGGATCAATTGATGGACACTAATCAATTATCTTTGATGATTGGTTCCCATGATTTTCCTTCCTTCCATTTTGGTTACTGTCATTATCCATTTGATTTTGGAAATTAAGGAGTACTTCCATTTACTTTCTTCAGTGTAACTCTGAGGACATTGCATTGCATTATCACGGGCAGCATATCCCGCAAATTGCCACATCAGATTCCAGTTATGCTATGGAAAGGGTTCCCATAAATAAATATCTCCCGGAATATTTCTGCAACTCTACTGGACCATTAAACATGTGTCTCAATGAAACAGCAGAGCTACTAATACCGTTGAGTAGTCAATACAATTCTAGTTCTGATAATAATGGGCAAATATTTGGGAATGAAGAGTATTGTATAAAGAAGCATCCACTATTGAATGGTTCTGGTGTAAAAGAAGGATTAATTAAAGTGGACAGCTTCTCCCGATGGGTTTCTAAAGAACTTGGAGATGTCGAGGAGCTGCAAATGTGTTCCAGCAATCGGTTTTCATGGGCATCTATAGAGAGTGAGCATAGTAATTCCTGTATGCTGGGCTCCGATTCACTGAACCCCTCACTATCCCAAGAACAACTTTTCAGCATCATAGATTTTTCACCAGCTTGGGCTCATTCCAACATAGAAACCAAGGTGCATTTTGAATTTCTCCACAAAGGGTGATGGTTGAATAATACTTATTCTGCCATTTTCTCACCTAAGGGTGATGATTGAATAATACTTTTTCTACTGATTTCTCACCTCAAATTTCTATTGTTTTCTATGATGTTGAAGCAGGTGCTAATTACAGGAAAATTTCTTAATGGTCGAAAAGAAGTGGAAGAATGCAAGTGGTCATGCATGTTTGGAGAAGTTGAGGTCCCAGTTGAAGTATTGTCAAACGGACTACTTTGTTGTTATAGTCCTCCACACAGGGCTGGGACAGTTCCAATTTACATAACTTGTTCGAACAGATTGGCGTGCAGTGAAGTAAGAGAATTTGAATACCGAGGTGAACTTTGTAGAGACACTGATACTGTTGATACTCATATGATGGGGATGCCTCTCCACAAGCGCTTTGAATGTCTACTGTGTCTGGGTCCTGCCATCAACCATTGCAGCTCATATGATATTATGGAGAAACAAACTATGTTAAATAAACTCATGCTTTTGATGGAAGAGGAAAAACTTTGTATGGTAGATGTTAGGGACCTTTGTGAGCCCAAAGAGAGGGAATTAGCACTTCCCGAAAAAGAGCTGAAAGATAGATTCTACACATGGCTTCTTCACAAAATTACTGAAGATGGGAAAGGACCTTCTGTGATGGATGAAGGAGGTCAAGGTGTAATCCATTTGGCCGCTGCGCTTGGATATAATTGGGCATTGAATCCAATTATTATATCAGGAGTTAGTATAGATTTCCGTGATGTTAATGGATGGACTCCACTTCATTGGGCAGCATTCTACGGCAGGTAAGTCCATTGGAGTTTCACATACTTGTATTTTGTACTTTAGCTAATGTTGAATGTGGTGTGTTATTTTCCATTGAACATTTTTCATTGTTGTCAACCTTGGAAAGAACTTCTTTGAAAACAAAGACCAGGCTGAATCAAGCTTTTTCCCCCCAAACAATTTGTGATGTGCACTGGATAGTGGATACGACATCTACTCTGTCCAAATTTGTGTGTCATAGTTACTTACAATTCATTGGTCATCGTAACAGGGTCAAACTAATTTTTTTACCCATTTTCTTTATTCTTTTTTAATCAAACATTCATGTCACTCACTAGTTTTATAAAACTTTTTATGTTGTTTTTAAAGATGTCCCTCCGTCATGTAGTGTTTGTCTCATTTTGTCAAAAAGGTAAAAGGGTCAAAAGTAGTGGGACGGAGTCAGGAGGAAATGCTAAATTTAACATTACAAAAGTTGATCCACAAAAATCTGGAATTTTGCGTCTTTGCAGGGTAAGACACGTAAAATGGAATGGAGGGAGTCATAATTTTAACTTATGTACTATGTATTATAAAACTCGGTATTTGTAATGAAATCTTCGGGTTTTTTTAAAAAATTTTCGGACTTCTTCTATAAAACCTTGTTTGTTTTTTTTATTACAGGGAACAGATGGTTGCGGCTCTTGTTTCTATGGGTGCATGGGCTGGAGCATTAACAGACCCTTGTGCTGAGTTTCCGTGGGGTAGAACTCCTGCAGATTTGGCATCCGCCAATGGCCACAAGGGAATATCTGGTTTTCTAGCAGAGTCCTCCCTGACCACACATCTTGCAACTCTTAGTGTAATTGATGCCAAGGAAAACTATGCTTCAGAAGCAAAAGAGGCGCAAACCTTTTCAACAATTAATAGTGCACAGGATGTACCACTGAAGGATTCACTTGCTGCGGTACGGAATGCTACTCAAGCAGCTGCTCGTATACATCAAATTTTCAGGGTTCAGTCCTTTCAGAGGAAACAGCTGGTGGTGCAATGTGGTGATGAGTTTTCAAGTGACGAACAAGCTATTTCGGTTGTTGCTTCAAGAACATCAAGGCTGGGGCAAAGTGATCGGATTTCCCATGCTGCTGCAACACAAATCCAGAAAAAGTATCGGGGTTGGAAGAAGAGAAAAGAGTTCCTCTTAATTCGTCAAAGGGTTGTAAAAATTCAGGTGCATTTTGCTTTCTACCCATTCTAGTTTCATTTGAAAATATACTATTGACAATCACATTCACAATCATATTCAACCACGGGTGAAACGTTTATTGACAATTGATGCCCCTTGCTTACTCTCATTTTCACCGGAGTGATTGATGATAGTGTACGTTTAGCATGACAAGCTGAAAAGTTACTTGTTAAACTAATTGGTGGTTGCTTCATTGCTGAAAAGTTCATAGATGATAAAGGTTGTAGTTTGTTAAATGCTTGCTTGTTAAACACACTAAGTGCTTTTGCACAAAAGTTCATAGGTTTTGGGTAGTTAATTTAGGGAAGAAGGGCTTGCTAGCTGGCCAACAGCTCCATGTAGTGCTGTCTAGCAAAGCTGAAGCTTCTAACTTATGTGTGCCAGCCATAAATACACCAAGCCCCATGTAGTTTGTTTTTTGTGTTGAAATGCAATTTATATACTCACTGATGGCTGTGAATGCTCACTTATCCATTGATGTGTTTAAGGCTCATGTGAGGGGGCATCAAGCGAGGAAAAAATATAAGCCGATAATATGGTCTGTTGGAATTCTGGAGAAGGTAATATTGCGTTGGAGGCGTAAAGGAAGTGGATTAAGGGGGTTCAAATCTGATGCAGTTGCAAAGCCCATAATCGAAGACACAGTGACATCATCTGTGGAAGATAATGATTATGATTTTCTCAAGGAGGGGAGGAAACAAACAGAAGAAAGAATGCAAAAGGCCCTTGCTCGCGTTAAATCTATGGCTCAATATCCCGAGGCACGTGCACAATATCATAGGATGCTTACTACTGCTGAAGGGTTCCGTGAAACAAAGGTACTTTTCGTTTTGTTTCTTTAAATATTTAGGGTGTGTTTGGAAAATGGTTTTCGGCTGGCTTTTGGCCTCTTTGATTGACTTTGGCACTTTGGCAAATGACTTTTTTACTTAGCTGATTGGTTCGAAAAGCCAAAATCTGAAAACTCAAGGGGAGTAGCTTTCGGACTTGGTTGTTAGGAAAATTAATTACCGGGGATGGGTAGAAACCGTCATTTTTTTGAACGGAACACCGTTGGACCCTTGGGTCATGGTCCCAATGTCATGGGAACCAAGTCGACTCTTGAAATCATCAATATATAACTTTATACTACCGTGGTTTTTGCCACCGGTGTGTGTGTGATCCTAACATCTCTCTCTCTCTTCTCTTGCTCTGTGTGTGTGTGTGTGTGTGTGTTTCGGGGGGGTGCAGGAGGATGCTTCAGCTATAACAGGGAGTTATGAATACAAGAGTTACCAAGATGAGGATGACCTGCTTGATATTGATGCCCTGCTACATGATGATGCTTTCATGCCTACGGTGTTTGAATGATTGATTGCCTGCAACCCCTCCGCTTGACTACCTTTGCGTTTTGTCCTTTTTTTAATGTATGATTAACTAATTATGGTTGTTTATAACGAAAATAAACAATTGATTAGTGATCAATTTTCTTTTGTAAATATTTACTCCCTAGTTCTCGTAGTTTAGACTTAAATACACAGTACTTCCTATTATATATATGGTTAAATCCCTACGGTCTCATTTTGTTAGAAACTTTTTTAAACGTTAGTGAATACGCTTATAACAATATGCCGTTGTGCACATGTTCTAAGTAATACGAAGTAGAACAAAAAAACTAGATTTTTTGTGTGTGTTATACTCCGTAGATATATTTTCTCGAGTTAATAGAAAGCAAATTACAACTATAAAATGTGTAAACATGGAATTCATATTTGTGCCATTGGGAGTAAATATGGAATAATGAAACACAAAGCATTAAAAGAGGAGCATAGTGTTGCATATATTTTAATATGAAGATATGTCATTATAGGGTTATTTTTACAAACAAAAATGCTATTGGAGACTTTGCAAAAAGTGGTCAATCCCGTAAATGATCTCGGAGTTGATATAATAAATGATATGGAGTAGAATGTAATGTTACCGTTTAATTTATGTAGCCGACCTCATATAGTGAGAGAAGGCTTTGTTGTGTT